GCTCTACTAAACCAATAGATAGTTGATCTAAACTTAACGTATCATGACTTTAGTTGAAACTTGTAGGGAAACAAAGTCCATGCTAAACATACGTGTAAGTGTGTGTAAGGTACTATGTGGCTGCGCCCACAAACTTAGTATTAAGAACAGTCGCAAATAAACTCCCAATCAGTTCAGTCGTCTTATACTTCATTTCCAAACCTCAACCTTCTGCAGTGCATTTCATAAATTACAATATCGTTAGGTTCACATAACAACAGACTCTAAAAACTCTCTATTACTTTTCATACAGCCGTAAAGCCCTTAGAAGAGTAAAATTGTCAGCAGTGTAATCCAAAGAGTATAATAAGTATAGGGTGTAATCTATGACTTATTTTCATTGAAATGTCATTTCATACATCATATGTCATCATAGTATGTCATTATTTATTTATTTCTTAAGATAGGTTTCTATAATAATACGGTTTATGTATTCGATATTATTTAGAAAATTATGACAGTATTACCTAAATCAAAAATTTTCGACAATTTCGTTTTAAAATTGCTATGAATTTTCTGACTAAGTTAAGTTACTGGGGAGTGCAAGTGATAAGGTCGATGAAGTATGTAAAAATGGGTAGCAAGACGGTGTCTACTTGGTTTCCTGGGTATAAACCTTTTGAGGACAAGCTGATAGAATCCGGGAGTAAAATGTCCCAGGGTAAAGTTGACGAAGATCGCATTGACGCCTTTGAATGCATTGCTCCTAATAGTAAGTCTTATATTAGTGGAGACTCCATTGCCATAGAAGAAAAAAAAAGTCTTATATGTAGATTAGACATATTACACAAGTCTATATCATGATTGCCTCGTTGGCCGAGTGGTCGTGCGACTGCCGGGCAAGGGGTCACGGGTTCGATTCCCGGGCAGAGAAAATTACTACTGGGCTTTTTAAAAATCTTAGTAGTAGCAAGGAGACTGGAATTGTGCCCGGTATATGGCAATAGGCTCACCCCCTATTACATGGGACTCATAACATAAATAGTGAAAAGTGGGTGTTACATTGTACAGTGGCATTAAGTGCCGTAAATGTGCACCTCTGCCCACCCCTTCGGGGATAAAAGGCGTGATAATATATATACATATATATATTTATAATCATCACCACTATCATCAGACAGTAAATATCCCAGTACTGAGCAAACTTATCTTTTTACACGATGAAGAAATTAACATTAATCATTAACGCTTGCTGAAGGTGAATTAATAATTTTAAACTTCGTAGCATTTTTGTTTTATAATGGTATGTTATTATATTTTCAGCTGAAGTCATCAAAGCGCTACCCGACTCCCGAGCATTAATTTGTCAGAAGCCACTAAAGAAAACTAAGGCAAGATCTGAAAAAGACCTTTTGCACTATTTTAAGACATACTTGACAGAAGAAATGATATATCACAGGTCCTTACAGAAGATAAACAAAAAAGCAACGAAGAGAATCAAAAAAATACTTCGGAAAATGTGATTAAAGTTATTTTTTCTCTCAATTTAGTTTAATTTTTACTTAAAAACTTCTTATTGGTGGAAATAATTATATTTTACGATACCAAGATAATATAGGTATACTAAATGACTTATCGCCGATTTTGCAATGCTCTATTACATTTTATACATACATAACTTCACGCCTTTTATCCCTGAAGGGCTACCCCTTCGTGCGTGAAGTTTACATTTGCAGAGGTGTACATTATGCCACTGTACAATGTAACACCCAATGTTATGAGTCCCGTATAATATGGGGCGAGCCTATTGCCATATACCGGGCACAATTCCAGACTCCGTGCTACTACTGAGAATTTTTTTAAAACCCAGTAATACTTTGCCCGACCCGGGAATCGAACCCGAGACCTCATGCCCAGCAGTACTTGCGACCACTCGGTCAAAGAGGCAGTTTGACAATTCTTCAAACTGTCAAATGTCAATTCTATTTTACAGTTAAGAATCGACTAATGATTAAAACATTTGGTTCTTAAATTGCAAGCAATTTCGTAATTATTAATTTTGGGTTGCAATTTAATACTGCGAGGAACAGGCTGAGCCGGATACTAGATTTGTTAATCTCCAACGCAGAATGCCAGACAGTACCTTGCTGTCCCCTATTGGAGCCAGATGTTCATCATCCGCCTTTCTCTGCAATGGTCTGTCTGGGCACGCAATTTTCCCCTATGAGATGCCTCTCAGCTCCCAGATACAATTATTATAAGGCGAACTATGATAATATTAACGCTGATCTTCAGGAGGTTGACTGGACTGCTGTTCTTTCTCATCACCCCGCTGAGCGGGCTGTCGAAGAATTTTATGAGATACTGTATGGAGTCATTAGATCACACGTTCCAAAAACTCGCCCTAAAAATTCGACCTTCCCCGTCTGGTTTTCACCTTCTTTAATAAAAATGTTTAGGGTAAAGGAGCGCGCCTGGGTCAAGTGGAAAAGGTACGGAAACATCTCTGATTATGTTAAATTCTCTAATTATCGTAAACTGTTCCGGGTTGAGTCAGTTAGGTGTTATAAAAGCTATATTAATTCGGTGGAAGACAGTATTCCTAAGAACATTAAGTACTTTTGGTCTTATGTTTCCTCAAAAAAAAATAAAGCTGATTTTCCTGCCAGTATGTACTTTGGAAGCGTTCATACCGACGACGCCACTGAAATATGCAATTTGTTCTCATCTTTTTTTTGTTCAGTGTATGAGTCTTCTTCATTTGATCCGAATACATGGCAGCCATCTCATCACTATGCAGAAAACTCTACAAGCCTATCTGAAATTTGCTTGCCCAGGGAGGCTGTCCGCACGACGCTTAAGTTTCTTGACTCTTCTAAGGGGGCTGGACCTGATGGTCTACCACCATGTCTTTTCATAAAAACGTGTGACAATCTATGTACTGCCTTGCATATAATATTTAATAAGTGTCTGCAGGAGGGTGTCTTCCCGGCTGTTTGGAAGCGTGCTTTTGTTACTCCTGTTTATAAAAGTGGTGACAGGAGCAATGTGGAGAACTACCGCCCTATTTCCATTCTCTCCACTTTGTCTAAAGTTTTTGAACGTCTTGTACATGGTGCTATATATTCTCATATTCACCCACTTATCATACCTGAACAACACGGTTTTGTTAAGCGTCGCTCCACTGTTACGAATCTTATGACATTTACTAATTTTCTTTTTGAGAATATGGATCGGCGAGTCCAGGTGGATGCCGTCTATACGGATTTTCGGAAGGCATTTGACAAGGTGGATCATGCACTGCTTCTGGAGAAAATCGCATATAATGGAATTCGAGGCAATCTGCTCCGCTGGTTTGCTTCCTATATATATAACAGGACACAGAAAGTCGTCGTAAATGGTTATGAATCGGACCTCGTGACTGCTGAATCTGGTGTTCCTCAAGGATCGATTCTAGGCCCCCTTCTATTTATAATTTTTATTAATGACATTGGACAGTGTTTCGTCAACACACATTTTTTAATGTATGCTGATGACATTAAAATCTACATGTCTTGCAGATCTGAGTCTGACTGTTTGCGACTTCAGGAAGACCTTGACAGACTTAACGTATACTGTAATAGTAACAAACTTTTTCTCAGCCTCCCTAAATGTCACTCCATCTCATTTACAAAAAATAAAAACAAAATTCAGTACGATTACTCTATAAATAATGTTGGATTAGCGAAGGTCAACTATGTTCGTGACTTAGGTGTAACTTTGGATTCTTGTCTGCATTTCGACCTTCACGTTGATAATATAATCAGTAAGGCCTTTAAGATGTTTGGTTTCGTATTGCGATCGGCCAGTGACTTTGTGCGCCCCTCTACATTTTTGCAGTTACACAAAACCCTGATACGGTCACAGCTTGAGTACGCTGTTGTAATTTGGAATCCATTCTATAATAAGTATAGTTCTAGATTGGAAATGGTACAGAAAAAGTTCCTGCGATCTGTAAATTTCAAATGTTATCATTCAAAACTTCCATACGAACAGTTGCTTACACGTTATAATATGCTAAGTCTAGAGTCTAGACGTTTGCTTTTGGCTGTTATGATGCTTCATGGCTTGTGTAATAATAGATTTGACTGCATGGACTTGACCAATCAACTATTTTACGCAGTTCCTAGGTCTGTAATACAGAGAGGGGTGCGGGTTCCGCGTTTGTTCCACACTAACAAGTGCAGGACTAATGCCGGGGCGCGCGCGCCTCTTCGTCGCTTAGTGGAAATATACAACTTGCATTTCATGGGTCTGGACATGTTTTGTCTTTCAAAACATAGATTTAGAAAGCAGGCCGTGGAGCTTCTGACTGCTGGGTTGCTGCGGTGATGGTTGGCTATTAATTAGTATTCTTTTTCTTAATCATAAGTACAATGTACAATGGTTTTTTGTTGTATCCTTTTATGTATCAATATTTAGTAAATTTTAATATAATTAAATTACGATAACACTACCCCAACACGGTCATTATTGCCGATATATTTTATACTAAATTGTGGGCAATGGTGTGGGTTACATATTTATTGTAGTTGTTGTTTAATGTAAAACTTTTATGTAAAATCTTAATATGTAACTGTTTTTTGTCCCTTAAATAAATAAAATAAAAAAAAAATAAAAATTAATATCAGGACGCAGGTCCTGAACGGACGCAGGTACTAAAAACTGTCAAATGTCAATTCTATTTTACAGTTAAGAATCGACTAATGATTAAAACATTTGGTTCTTAAATTGCAATCAATTTCGTAATTATTAATATCAGGACCTGCTTCTTAGAATCTTAGAATTTTTTAAGGTCAAAATCTTCAATAATACTTTCCCTGACCAATGACTCGAATCTGAAACCAATCAACCATCAAAGCAGCATTGAAGATAACGAACACATATTTGTCTATATTTATGTCATCACGTTACCTAGCAAGCCATGACCAACTAGTTTTTTAATATCGTTCATTCACATCACAACATCACTTAGTTACAATTCCAATATTTTTTAATAAAATTGTAAATGAGAAAAAAATATTTATCTATCTTCACCTTACTCAGTACTGAGTTCTTTAATATTTCCATAAAAAATGAGGTGTTTGTCGTCAAAAATCAAAGTTCTGAGAGCTAATTACAAGAATATTTTTAAGAATGCGATACGTCTCCATTCAGGTAATGTCCAAATACTCAAATGCCACTAAGTTTTCAGTCGCGCTTAAGTATAGTGCTGTCACTACGAATTCTTAGTAAAACGACAGAGATGGCACGATATTTAAGAACAACTTATTAAATAGCATTTCAGTAGTAAGTGAACTAGGATTTAAGAAACTGATTAATACTGCGGCCTCACAACTTGTTTGACACAACGCTTTTTTGAGTTTCACCATCTGAGTGGAGTACTAAAAGCCGAACCCAAAATGGCTGGCTACTTCTGGTATTGCGAGTGTTCATGGGCAGTGTGTTGTGATCATTTACCGTCTGCTGATCTAAGATCTTCATCTGCGTTATCGTGGGATAAAAAGTAGTCTAAATGGTAGTCTAGACCACAATCTATCTGTTCAAAATTTTATGCCGATTTCTTCAGACGTTTTAACGTAAAAAAAAGTGAACATACAAACTTAAAAACTTTCACATTTATTATATTCGTAGGATTTTTTTAAGGAATGAAAATCATCAAATGACTTCTCCCGCCTGGGCGAGTCAGGAGGGAGTGTCAGACTCTTACTGACTAAAAACCACCCCGTTCCTGCTTCTGCCTTTCGAGCCGGAGCCCCGGTACCCCGTTAATTCCTCCTCAACTCTGTATTGGCATCAGCCCTATATTAATAGGGTAGGTTTTTTATAACAAACCGTGATATTTTCGTACAAAAAGTACAATAAAGTGATTTCTATATATTTTTTTAGGTTGCAGAGACCCTGGTGGGGCTGGTTCGATCCGAGAAGCTGGTGGTGCGTTCAGAGATATGGGGATAGCAAAAGAATCCCAATATTTTTATAAAAAAGAGAAAGAGCTTCTAAAGAAAATTAAAGAAAGTATGAAGGACCAGAAGGAGTTTCATGAGGAACAGATTGCTTTGCATAAGTCTGCTATAGAAAAGATTGAGAGTAAACAAAGGTCTATGGATTGAATACTGGTCTACTACTCACTACTTAGATTGCGAATATGTTCTAAACTATTGAAATACATTTTAATAGACCTAGGTACATAATGATTTTCAATAACATTACGGTATATAAAATATAAACATTGTCAAATATTTGTTGAACTATTATAATTAAAACTCTATCGTAATAATTACAAGATTGATTTTGTTTTGCATGACTTTATCTGTATGTTGCCTCAGTGTTGAAAGTTTTAATACCTTAAATGTGAACTGAATACTGGTTATAAGCCATTCTTGACAAATACTACCAAAAATATTTAACAAAGTTGTTAAATAAGTATTGCAAACACAATGATGGTGCGAAGTTTTGTGAATTCAGCACAAAATAATATGAAATTTCAGGTTTTCTTCAACAAATAGTACATTTTCATTTTGTACGAAGCATTAATGCGACAGTGTATAGCCTTTATAATTTACGTTTTGTTTTTAATGATAGACTTAAGTAATGTTAGATAGTGCAAATTCGAAGAAAAATTACAGCTGTGTGGAATAATCATCACTGCTCGAATTCGTTAATTAGTCTGTTCAGCTTGCCACGCGGTTTTTTTTAAACATTGCCCCACGCTAGTATTTTCTCTTGTGTCGTGGGTGCGTTTACAAATATACAAGTTTACATACACAATGACACCCAGACCCGGAACAACAATTTGTGGATCACACAAAGAGTTGCTCCGTGTGGGAATCGAACCCGCAGCACGTTGCGCGGCAGCCGGTTGCCCAGCCACCGTGCCAACAGTGCAGTCGTATGACATTGTTGCATATCCTTTGGTGATTGGTTGCAGTTAGAAGATTGGACATTGGGAATCAAAAATGTTTTTTAAATTCTTGTTTTTTGTGAGTACCTTCGCATTATTCATCTCACTTCGCGTTACTACATACTACATATCATACAAAATATTTATGTCATGTGGATATCAAAGCCAGAACATAGTCGTTACATAGCAGACAATTACCCACCAACTTGTATGCAAAAGACACGGATGTTTTTCATTGATCCTAAATCCTCGCAAAAAAAATACTATTTGCTCTGTACACCACATTTTCTACCACACAATACACAAATTTTAATAATACTGGGATTTAGGAAGTGGTAAGCCCTTATTAGCTTTTAAAATGGAACCCTAACCAACACTAAATCATTGTAATTTCCACATTTAAATACAATGAAAGCCAGTTTTTTGTATAAATGCGTGTTCGTTGTATTGTACTTAATATACGCGACAATATGGTCGGAATATAAAGAGATTTTAATGGAGGCTTTTATTGCAGTCGCTGTCTTTTAGTCGCGCGCACGATTTATAAGGGGAAAATGGAAGGATTTCAGCTTTAAATGCGAGTTTGAGTGAGATGAAGGGAGATTTAAATATTGAAAAGCAGTTTGTCTTTGTCATTTTTAGGAAAAATTTGTTGAAAAACGTTTTGTTTGTGCAAAAATATATAAGTTTTTTAAAGTTATTCACAGCTACCTTAGTCAGTGGTCTTTGAAATAGTATGATTTTAAGTAAATAACATAATTTAAAAATGTACACGATGCTGAGCAATATCAAAAAGTATAATTAACACACATTGTGCTTAGTATACCACGACCCGATTTAAGTGTGGGAGAGCCATGCTTTGGCATTAATGGGCCGGCTTGACCGGAGTGATACCACGTTCTCACAGAAAAAAGACGTGAAACAACGCTTGCGTTGTGTTTCGTTGTGTGAGTGAGGTTACCGGAGGCCCAATTACCCCTATCTCCAGTCTCCCCGATCCCCGAATCCCCCACAATCCTCAAATTCCTAATTCCCAAAAGGCCGGTCACGCACTTGTGACACCTCTGCTGTTTCGGGTGTCCATGTGCGACGCCGATTGCTTACCATCAGGTGATCCGTCTGCCCGTTTACATCTCATAAAAAAACGTTTACATCTCATAATATCTCATAAAAAAAACCCTAGACATCTCGAGTAGCGACTAACAAAAAAACACAACAACGCCCTCTACAGCTCCCTAACTCTGTAGCAAAAACTAAATTTATGAGGACACACCGAAGACAAGTCAACGGTTGACAACTGAATGTAATTAATTAAGACGCAGGCGCGGCATGCCGGCAGAAATGTGCTTTGTTTTGATAAAATAACGGCTTTGAATCCTGTTACATTTCCCTTCTTGCTTTTATCTAATTTTCTCCTTTAATGTTTGTGTGGAGATCTAACAGAACGGTGACTGCGTTGCTGTATAGTAGTTTTTTTGTTGTTTGAGGTTTATGTATATGGTGTTCTATTTTTTGATGTGGTTACAGTCTTCGATTTAAATAATTTCCAGTTTATAAGAATTCGGCTATTCTTAAAAAAATATTTAAATATTATGCTGAATTAAATTCGTAGTCTCCTAATAAGTAGCTTCTTCAATATGATAGCAATTACTCTTTAAAACCAAAGACACTTAAATCGAGGGCATGCTCAATCGTATGTAGGTAATTTAAATGTAACTAGAAAATTTTCTTTTCTGAAACGAAAAAGTAGAAAGAAAAAAAATATCATTAAAACATTCATTGGAATTACCCTCGAGTTGGTATTCGAGGAATTCATCAATTTGTGAGATTTTCTTCTGTGCCCAAGAGCATTCCGGGGCGCGCCGATAAATTAGAAAATCTCCATTTATTTGTAGAGTTTACGCTAGAACGGCTTGAGTTCACGACTTTGCTGATGTTACTAAGAAATGTTATTTCTTCTTAGAAAAGTTTGCTTTTTCAGTATTTGAGTAATATTACTGAGCTATTGGTGTTATAGTATTAAAGAGTTTTGGAATATGTTTCAGAAATTCAGTGTCTTTTGGAGACATCATTGGGTGATATTTTGTCATCCAATATTTTAAGTATTACGACTGCCTCTTTGGCCGAGTGGTCGCAAGTGCAACTGCCGGGCAAGGGGTCTCGGGTTCGATTCCCGGGTCAAGCAAAGTATTATTGGGTTTTTTTATAAATTCTTAGTAGTAGCACGGAATATGGAATTGTGCCCTGTATATGGCAATAGGGTCACCCTCTATTACATGGGACTCGTAACATAAACAAGTGAAAAGTGGTGTTACATTGTACGGTGGCATCAAGTGCCGTAATGTGCACCTCTGCCTACCTCTTCGGAGATAAAAGGCGTGATGTTATGTTATGTTATTTTATGCATATTGGTAAGATTATAAAGGACCTTATCAGATCACGTGTTTATCAAAGATCTGTGATATTGTGCTAGATGTCCATCAAAATCATCATGAACACAATTCATGACAGTCCATAACTGAACTCTATATAATCGGCATCTACATACTACATTGCCCATGGTGTCCCCTCTTGGCAGTCGAGTTGAAGATCCCAGTTTAAAAAAAATTGTTAGTAGGGTCTGATCTAAAAAATACTTTTTGTGATCAGTAAGTAGTATTTATATCGTAGTTTAAACAATATTAAAATATACTGACAGAGAAAAATATCCGAACTAATTCTCAACAATTTAAGTATTAATTATTATGTTTTCCGGCTTACTCACGTAATTATTTGACTAGGAACTCAACTAGTTTCAAGTCATGCTAGAGGCTCATATTCATGAGTAGCATTTTACGACCCGCGACGTATGACATATGTACCTATGTCTTAGGAAAGTTATAACATTAATTTAATGTCATTCAAACGATCTTATTTCACTTACTAAACTGAATTCTGAACTGAAACCATTTTCCAATAAGGTCAGAAGTGTAAGTACGGACATGGCATTCGCTATGCAAGCAACTGAGGTCAGTTGGGAATGGAAATCGATAACCTGGATAACTAATACGGGAATAGGTTAGAATAACAGTAAATTCTATCTTTCGAAGGAATTGCGAAACGGGTCGACCGTCAAAGCTCTTTATAATTCTGTTACTTACTTTGTTTGTGGTTAGTCGCTTCATTTTGTTTATGAAGAGTATAATAGGGTAGATGCTTAATTTTTATTTTAATGTCCGCCTGATAGATTATTTTAAATCATTAGACACGTATTTTGTATGTATGTCTGTCTGCGTTATCTCCAAATTGGCTGAACCGATTTTGATGCCGTTTTCAGAAAAGTGATTTTTACACTTCAGAGAAGGTTTAAATACATTAAATATAAAACCGACTTCAAATAAGAGGGGGTTGAAGCAAGTTTTTTTAAATGTAGTTTACGATTAATATTATTATCATGGACTAAGTAGAAGGTGTATCTTAATTAAAAGTATTTCGAGAGAAGGTGCCCAATTAAAACATCTATCTTTTGCTCTTTCGGTCCAGTCATATGTCATAAGTATGAGTCAACAGTTATTTTACTGTGTATAGTCCTATTAGCATTAAAATGAAAATTTCGAATATCAAAATTCATATTTGAGTTCATTCACCTGATTCGAGAAGCCAGCTTACAAATAAGGTAAAGAAAAAAATATATTTTTCAATAGCCGTGTTACTAATCTTACGTAATACCTACCTAGGGGATGAGCCTATTGTTATCCACAGCCCACAGACCATTTTGTCAGATTGCGCACTGAATTGAGAATTTCGATCTAGAAATTCGAATGTCTCATTGTTTGTCTAGTCTGGATACTGGATATCTGAGTCGGATAAAGATTTATTGGATTTTACGCTATTGAAATTCGTTTTAGTAGGCTAAGGAAGTTTAATGTACAGCTTTGTTTCATGTTTAGACTATAGTATTTAACTCGTCGAGTACCGTCATTATAGACACAATTATAGAACAATAGGTTGCGGTCACCGGTGACCGCTTGGTGTTTGACAGTTTAATGTGTAATGTGGTAGCACTGGCAGGGTCGCCATGTAGTGTGGTAGCACTGGCAGGGTCGCCATGCAATGTGGTAGCACTGGCAGGGTCGCCATGCAATGTGGTAGCACTGGCAGGGTCGCCATGCAATGTGGAGCAATGAGACGTCTTGTTGTTATGAATAACTTTAATTAAGTGTCTTAAGAACTAACTTACACTACTTACTTATAGGGCGAGGTGTCACACACACTATAAATGTATGGACTTTTAGCTACTTCCAACCTTTTTAGTAAATTTTATAA